AGAGGCGGTGTCGCTTTATAGACGGTGTCCGCTATATGACAGAGTATATCTTATAGACCCCAAGTGTCCTTATAGACAGGTAATATCTTATAGACAAGTGTCGGCCTTATAGACAGGTATACCTTATAGACTAGGTGTCTTCTTATAGACATCGTGTACCTTCTATAGGCAGGTGTACTTTATAGACCGTGTCCCTTATAGACAGGTGTCCCTTATAGACAGGTATACCTTATAGGACAGGTGTGCGCCCTTATAGCCAGGTATACCTTATAAGACAGAGTATATAGCCTTATAGACAGGTGTCGGCTGTTATAGACTATGTCCATTATATGACTAGGTATCCTTATAGACATAGTATACCTTATAGACAGGTGTAGCCTTATAAACAGGTGTCGCTTATAGAACAGGTGAACGCGTTATAGACCGAGGTGTGCGCCCTTATAGACAGGTGTGCGCCTTATAGACAGGTGTCTCTTATAGACGGGTGTTCTTTAATATACAAGTGTCCCTTATAGACGGTATACCTTATACGACAGGTGTCCATTATAGATAGGTGCATCTTATAGCGCATTGTGTAAGCCTTATAGGAAGGTGTCTCTTATGAGACAGGTGTGCCCCTTGATTAGACAGGTATACCTTATAGAACAGGTGTCCCTTTATAGACAGGTGTCTCTTATAGAGCAGGTGTTTCCTTATATAGCAAGTGTCCCCTTATAGACAGCGGTATACCTTAATAGACCGGTGGTCGCCTTAAATAGATCATGTGTACCTTAGTAGGCAGCGGTGTACGGCTTATAGGACACGGTGTGCTCGCTTAATAGGCAGGTGTACCTTATAGACATGTGGTTCCTTATAAGTGCAGGGTCCCGTTATTGGAGGTACTTTTACTGTCATTCAGTAATTGGCTCAAGTAAAGGAAAAAGTTACGGCGTGTCCTTGTCTACAGAGAGGCATCCGTTCTAAGAGAGGTTTTCGAATGAACACAGTTGTGTGTATTTCTCATGACGTCAGCAGATATGGCGTTGTAGTGTTTAGCAGTCTGCCTGTATTGGCGTCGGGTGTTGGCTAGTCACGTGATACCAGTTGACGTATACTTTCAAAACTTAACAGTAAGGTAACCCTAACTCAACACCTCCACACTAACGCCTCAGCACTAAATAGCCTAATAATATCTAATAGCTATATAATATAGGGGGTGTGATCTACAAACATAATCTATGTGTGGGGGCCAGATATCCATGATGGGCAAAAACTCTAACCCTGCCGCCTAAGCCCTAACCTAATACTCATAATATTAATCCTAATACTAGTGCTGGCCATGTTGCGGTAGCACTCCACGCCGCGGGGATAGAGACGATTTCATTGAAACTATTGTTCATCTATTGTCATAACACATTAGGCGGTGTTGCGCGTAGACCGTGTACGTGCGTGGCTTGCATGTTATATGGTTTTTTTTTAGTTCCGAGTGTGTGCATGTGTATGTATGCGCGCGTGCATGCGCGCGGGTGTGTGTACATGGCTATGTGTGGGCGCGTGTATCTATCTGTCTGCGTGCGTTCCTGTGCGCGGCTTGTGCTTTTTATGTGTTCATGAACTAGTGGCGGATATTTTATATATGCACATATGCGCACCTGAGACAGCTTTTGAATTGTAGAACAACCATGAAATGCGATTTTTGCCAAAGAATAGCCCAAAAGTTAAATTAAATAACGAAAGCGGTTGCGGAAAATATCGGAGGAGGCGAAAGAGAGAAAGAGGTAGAGAGGAGGTCAGGGGCCTACAGCGCCCTCTCTCTTGTCTCATTTTCGGCGCTTCTGTTTTTCATTCCCTTTCATTCTCTCCACACGCACACGACGTGCGCGGCGCGTCGCACGCACACAAGGAAGACGTACCGCCACACAACAGGTTCACACGACGTTATGCACGGCACGCACGACGTTCCACGCAAGTACACGCACGCACACGTCACAGACGCACTACGCTGGCCGCGCACAGTCGCCACCGCCGAAATATCACAATCTATACTGATCGTTCCGCCTTTCTGGCGAGAATCGCAAGCATTCTCGGCTGCTACGTGTGCCGACAGTGCCGATCACTCCGAGTGCACGGACCAGTTCGAACGTGGGCCGAACAGCTCCATGTTGGCGAAGGAATGCGTCATCCCGGACGCACCGCGGCAGGACACACCGCAGCTGCCGTCTGGATCAGAACGCGCTACGACTACATACCGAAGTCGCGAAAGCTGTTCAGCGAAAGTGCCATGCAAGTGGGAGATAAATGGCTGTGAGTCTTATTGTTGTTGTTTTTGTTTGTTGTGTGTTGTTCGTTCTTTCTTCTACTGTCTTCTTATTATATTTCTTGTCTCTTCTATTCTCCTTCTTTTTTTTGTCCTTTCCGTTTTCTTCGTGCTTCGTTTCTCTTCTTCTTCTATGTAGGTTAACTGTGATTTATCAAACTAGTCGAGATGCATTAATAACCATTGCTATTCCACGGGCTCTTGCAGATACCGCGCGCGCTGCTTTGCTACGGACATGGCACATGGATCCGCCTCTACTTCAAAATGAACTGGTGAGATGTGAACCGAGCAGGCAGGTGTAGGGTATGCGACAACGCAGCTATGTAGCACGCGCTAAGGCAAACCACGGCGTGTTCACTGCTGCGATCATACTAGCGCTGTTGCTACTATATATCGGTGTTAGCAGCAATGGCAACTGAATGACACGCTCTGCAGGGCCTGCGTTTCGGGAAACGCGTACACAGTCATCAACGTAGATAGACCATCTACACATTCCTACGATGGCAACCGTCAAATCTAGTCTACGAGAGATGCTGAGAGTGTGGGCGCCTTGGGCTTAAGTGAAAGCATGCAGTAGATGCTTATGCTGTTGTTATGTGAGCAGCAATAACTCGGCCTTTCAGGGCAAAATGGAGGTGAAGCGACGCGCTAGCGAAAAATGTAAGCAATGCCAACTCCGCGCAAAACAACATCATTAACCTCCTGTAGAGTTTTAGAATTTGTAGACGTGTATGTCATATCGTGTTTTTAATTCTAATTCACGTAATGGAAATAATTAACGTTTATATATATCTAAGCTGGAATCTATTAAATTGGACTTTGTAATTAGCATATCATATATCATATATGAGAGGAATGGGCACACGTTACAGTATAATTATCTCCACAATTTAAACCATAATATTTTGACCATTTTAATAATTGGGAGTGCTTTGGCCGTGCGATAGCAGCACATTCCCTATTAACGCTGCGATGCTTCTTAGCAGACGCTTTCTGCAGCTTTTGCTTCGATACGCAAAAACCAATTTCACTTAAAGTAGGTATACTGTGATTATTGTTACGAGATTGTCTTGTTTGAATCAAACGGTCGTAAAATATAAGTGAGTGTGTGCGACATGTGATACTTAATCTGATAAATTATTTTTATGTGCGGAACAGTACAGCGACTGCCTTCGTACACTGTCAGCCATTCTTTCACTCGTACGGCTTCAGTTTAATTCACGTAACTGTAGCTACGATTTAAGTTCAACAGCTTCAGAATTCAAAACGGATTCATTTTATTAAAGTTCAGTCTATATATTCACTTGACAGGCTCTTATCTGTTCCCGCACGCAGCAGTTGTATGTGCTGTACTTTTACACATTGATACGTAGACTGGGTACTAAACACTTGACATCAAAGTAGACGTTGCACATAAATTAACTATATGGTATATAGATATCCATTTATAAATACATACATTGCTGTAACAGCTGTACGTGTAACTACTTTTAACACCTAAGCCCAAGGTGTATTTTTAGACTCGAAGTCTCAGAGGTCGCCATCTCGCGGCAGCTTTCATAACGAAATATTCAAGTTATGTAGTGTAGTTAAGTTAAGTAGCAAGTATGTAGTTAGTTAGCTCTACCTGCGTAGCACCTTTGCTCCCGCTACAGTGAAGATATTGTGGATGTCATATTGTGATGAATAGCATTTGTTCAAATTGTTTGCGATCCTAAAACAGTGATTGTCAAACTCTACCCTGAAAACCTGATGATAACACTTGTAATAAAATACATTACTACATTGTGTAAGCCTGTTGCAAAAAGTAACTAAACCATAATTATAATATATATTATGTGTAAATTATCTCAATCACCATGAGATATGTATTGCTTCTGGTTTTCACATATATTGTTTTGCTTTCAGAATATTTTTTAAGCTGCTGTTTGTTGTAAAGTTAATTGGAAACTGTTACAATGTATGTCATTTATTCATATTTAAACCAATACGTCTGCCAGCTAAACAAATTTGTAAAAAGTTGTGATATACTGTTTGGTAACTACCGCACATCAATTGCATGGCCATATTAACGGCTGACATTGAAATTTACTAACCTCCTGATACAACAGGGTCTTAGGGGTGTTGCTATCCCCCGGGGCGCGGAGGGACAGTACCGCAACGTGGCAGCACTAGTGTTAGGATTAGGGTTAGGGTTAGGGTTAGGGTTAGGGTTTTTGCATCATGATATCTGTCCCCACATCATAGATTAATTTTTGTGGATGACACCCATATATATATAGAGATCCGATATATAGATATTTAGTGTTAGGGTTATGGTTACTGTTAAGTTTTGAAGTATACGTCAACTGTATCACGTGACCGTCCCTCCACGCCCGGGGGATAGCAACACCCGGGTCTTAGTAACAAGACAATATCTGATGTCATATCGGCTAAAAGATCAACAATAACATATCTGCAAAATTAAGTAACACAGACGTTAACAATCCCAAATTATATTAAATTTTGATTAGTGGCCCTTAAAATACAAAAACATTTAGTTCCAAGGGTTCATTCTCATGTCAGTTATCTGAACTTACAATAACCAGTTATTTAAAAGATGGATTATTCTCTTGTAAGTTGTGTACCTTGTAGGTATGTGTAATGTTTACATCCTTAATCTCCAAATTCTTAGAAATATATGATGAGACTTGATAGCAGAACATAACTGCGAGCACTATAAAACACCTTTTATTACCCATTTAAGTGACAACATATTATAACCGTCAGTACAAAATTGACTATATAATAACTTTCACATGCATAATTATAGTCAGTATAGAACATTTAGGCTCTGCCATTGTTTTTCACAATAAATAAGCACCACACACTACGATATAATAATATGATACAATATAATCTGTCACCAAAAAATGAAGTCAAACATATAGTCACATGCAATTAGGTCTCTATTATTGCTATACCCTCAGGCTATCACATGATCAAATGAAGGCTATCATTACAAACACAATACTGTATACCTCATAATACATGCATGCGTTAATTCGTAATTGTGACTACGACCTCATATTCCTGTGAGTGTGAGAATGACTACGCAATCATTGTCGTAACCAAAGAACAAATTCTTCATCACATAATAGTGTGTTAGAGTTCGTCTGTAGACCTTGTGATATGTTGAGATGACAATGCTTTCTTCATGTTGTCCATTATCTTAAGAGGGTCAGGCACGTAATACTTGTATTTTTCATTTGGTCCTACGAGATCCTCTCGAAATACTCCGTCAGATCCAAAGAATAAAATTCTGGGAATGTATCCACCATCAGGTTTAAATTTCTCGTCGTCGGGTTCGTCTTCATCTTGGAGATTTACCATGACAAAGTCTTTGCTTAGCTCCAAAATATCTGTCGAGTCCTTAAACTTCGATTTCAATGATTTGCAAGCTCCACACCAAGATTTGTGTATTATGACCATCAGCGGTTTATTTTCGGTTGCAGACACCTCAAACGCAGCGTCAATATCACCGACCCAGTTTATTTTGTTACCATAGCCATTACTGATATCTTCTTCCACTTCGTCGTTGACCTCCTCATCTTGATAGGAAACGTGAAGAACGGTTAACAAACTTAGAAATACGGCGAACAACTTTACTGATGACATGAAACGCGCCATCTTTACATTACATCACGTGATCTCACGAGTGATTATGATTCGCGAGTATTTGGCGAATCGCGGACGAATCCGATTTTATTTTATTTTATTTATTTATTTTGTTTATTTATTTAGGTAATCATCCTAATAGATACTAAACGAAACATTTTGAAATTTTGACAGACGTGGGCCACTGATTTCCACTTATACTAACGTAGATCGATCAAGAAAACATTCAAGTACGTAGATAAACGGTGTTTCCAAATTCCTTATTCTGTACAAGCTAGACCGTTCATCAGACCCCACCTGTCCTAGAGTACTGTGTGTGCAAGGCTGCAAGGCGCCTGCTATTTCTATTTGTTTTACTACTAGAGTGGCAGCCGTTCTATTCCTCAGGTTGACTGCATGACGTCTGTTACATTTCCACATGGTCACCCTACTATAAGAAAGATATGGACCTGTTAGAAAAAGTGCAAAGGAGGGCAACCAAGCTAGTCCACTCTATACGTAACCTGGAATACGAGAGGAGACTGGAAATCCTAGGTCTATATTAACTGGAACAGAGGAGAGTAAGGGGAGACCTGATCGAAACTTACACAATGCAACAAAGCAAGCAACCAATTTTTCACACCGGCAACCGAAACCACCAGGAGTAATCCCCTAAAACAATTCAAAAATAGATCCAGGCTGCAATTGCGACAGCACTTCTTCAGCCAAAGAGTGGTGAATGCATGGAACGCACTGCCAACATTTGTTGTCGAGGCCAAGACGGTTAACTGCTTTGAAAAACAAACTAGACTTACATAATAGGCCAGGCTTAAACTCAACCCATCTAACCTTAACCTTAACCTAACCTTAACTGTTATGGATCAGCGTCCGACGTGAACATATTGTCACGAAACATGCATATCGATACACCCATACATCAAGATAATAAATATACATTGAAGATTGAAAGATTGAAAACAGTTAATTTATTTGTGCATAAGACATACATAAATACAGAGTACATCGTTATAAAAGTAATAATTACATGTAGAAGTACAATTTTAATCAGTTTAAGCACGGAAGTGGCGAAGGACACTTAAGTCATCTAGTCTGCCACCCCAAATACATACATAACATGATAACATAATAGCTAGATCATAGCCTCATAGGCGTAGCAAACTTATTTTGCCTGGGAAGCAAAGCCATGTACGTGGTGTTGCGTTCTGGGTAAGTGAACGTGGGTTGTCTGTCCCCTTGCACCCCTCCAGCTAGCTATGGCCAGAGCACGTATATCACATAATATATTATACGTGCTCTAGCTGCGATGGCCCTGTAAAACAATACACACGAGGATACACACACACCACACACGCGCACGCACACAGGCACGCACGCACGAACACAAGCGCGCGTGCACGCACGAACACAAGCGCGCGTGCACGCACTCGATCACGCACGTACGAACATGCCACAGTATAAGAAAATGACAAAGACCCTTTTTTATATTAAACTATACGTGAGAATATGTGTTTGATGCTTTAAATATGTAAGTTCAACACGATACAAAGCTTTTGTCACGTAAATATAGTGAGTACAAGAAAATTTGGTGTGGAAACCGAAACATTGGCATACACGCTTTTTTGATTGACCCGTGGTCAGATACTCTTTGTATGTTATATATAGGTTTAATAGAATAACGAGTTAGTTTATTGTAGCTAATTGGCAAGTGTGAACGTAGAAAGTTCATGGAAATTGAAAAACCCATCCATCTCCTGTTCCCTATTTTCCTCCGCCCCCCCCCCCTCCGCCTTTCCCACTTCATCCGTCTCCATGCAACTTCTTTATCATTCTTCGTTCCTCTATCTCTTTTCTTCTTCGCCGCGTGAACGTTCGTGTATGTACTACTGTTATTCCGAGTTCGTGTTAGATCAGTATCAAGAGTGCATAATAGAGATCTATTATCATTATGCATCTCTATTATGCACTCTTGATCAGTATCTGCCCCAATAAATATTATTACGGTGAAATCGTAAAAATAAAAAACAGAAAGCACATAATTAGCAGCAGGTTTATAAATTTTTAACGTTAGTTTTGTCTGAAATTAGTAGGCGGCTGTTGCTCAAGGTTGACGCGCATATCGAGACAATAAGACGGTTAAACGCGTTTCACCACAAGAGAGGGCGCTCGCACCACATCTTGGTAGAGCCATAGATAGAGACTACTGAGGTGTATTATGTATATACAGTAATAACACGTTAATATAAT